CCTCTGGTTTCTAAAACTAGTAGGCATTATTTATCTCTCACATTGTCTCACCCTTCCATCATACCACCTTAATTGGTTTCCCCAATTAAGGTGCCCCCATTTTCCCCCTTTCTCCCTTAATAATACCCTTCTCCTATGGTCCTACCTCTCCTGAGCACCTTTCCCTTTGTCCCCTAGGTTCCTTGTATACCCTTCCCTACCCCCTCCCTTAAACTAACCCAATTTTTATCCATATCTCCCTTATTAAGGCCTGTTTCCTACTGTTCTTCTCTTTCAGGTTCTTTCTTTTCCTTTACCTCCCTGTTTCCTTTCCATTATCCTGGTTCCTGTAGTTATGTCTGGATACATACTCACTTATCAGGGTTTGGTTCAAGGATCCACATATGAGGGAGAAAATATGCTAATTTTTTTTGAGTCTGTGTTATTTTAATTAGTATAACAGTTTCTAGTTTCATATATTTACCTGCAAATTTCATGATTTCATCTTTCTTTACTGCTGAGTACTCCATCCTATAAATGAACCACACTTTCATTAAATACTCATCAATTGAGGGACAATTAGGTTGCTTCCATCTCTTGGCTATTGTGAAAAAAGCAGCAACAAACATGGATGTACAAGTGTCTCTGCAATAGGATGAGTTTTTAGGGTTTATGCCAAGGAGTGGTATAAATGGGTTAAATGCTAGGTTCATTTGTAGTCTATCATTTGATCTTTTGATCTTAGCCAGTCTGACTGGGGTAAGATGAAATTTTAAAGTGGTTTTAATTTGCATTTCCCTAATTATTAATTCCATCTTTTAAGATGCTTCATGGCCATCTTTACTTCTTCTTTTGAGAACTCTGTTCAGCTCCTTAGCCCATCTTTTAACTGGGTTACTTCTTGTCTTGATTCTCTGGTTTTCTGAGTTCGTTATATATTCTAGATATTAATCCTCTGTCAGATGTGTTGCTGGTGAAGATTTTCTCCCATTCTGTGGGTTTTATGTTCGCTTCCCTGGTCGCCTCCTTTGATGTACAGAAGCGTTTTAGTTTAATGAGGTCTCTTTGTTAATTCTTGCCCTTGTTTCCTGAGCAATTGATGTTCGGTTTAGAAAATCCTTTCCTACACCTATATCTTGTAGGTTTTTGCCAATGTTTTCTTCTCACAGTTTCAGAGTTTCAGGCTTTACACTGAGGTATTTGATCCATTTGGAACTGACTTTTGTGCAAGGTGAAAAAT